TGGTGGGTAGGGCGACCTCCTCACCTAACCTTCCAGGTGTGCTATAGTCTTACTGACTTAGAGCTTTCTCCTGATAACCTTCCCTCATAAACCATAATTGGTTACTCTCTACACTTATTACCACCAGTATCATTATCTCTGTCATGTGTCGTGTTACTTGTGAGGACGGCGTTAGTGTTGTTTGTGCAAGTTACGTTACGGGTATTCTTTGCCCGAGTGAAGTGACGTATATCCATCTTCTTTCTCTTGTTTCTCTTATAATATATAGCGTCTATATGTGCACGTGTCGACAGGAACTTAATAGTATCGAACCGATGAGGTTCGAACCCTCATCACGGCCCTTGTTCACTGAATCGTATCATTAGCTTGTGTGATAATTGTTGACATTGAGTGCCTCAGTGTGGTAATGTGTTGAGGGAGAGTGTATGAGGCAGGTTCCTTGTGGGTCACCCTTAACCTGCCTCACAAGTTAATCCCTGCTGCACTCCTATTATTTCCTACATGGCGATAAGCCAGGTAACCTCGGCCGGTGCCATATTTATATCTTCAATCAATAGATAACAAAAAGTTGTTTGAATTTAAATAGAAATGACTAAGTTTGCCCATTTATATATATTTTTTATTCCGCTCGGGATTTTTAAGCTACAAAAAAATTGCCGTAACGGGTAAGTTGGTAGTTACTGCGCCTTCAAGGTCAAGTATCTTTATTGAGACAATAAAATACATCTCAAGGAGATGGAGTAGCTTTGGGGTGTTCTACCCCTCCCCTCCCCCCCCCCCGTTACTTCAGGTAACATGAACAAATCCACAAGGGCCGTGACGAGGATTCGAACCTGCCTCCGGGAGGTTGGAATCCATAATTTGGTGTACATTATGTTGAGGTAATATAATGTACACCAACCACCTTCCGTTGTTTCCAAATCAAGTGTTTACAGTGTGGAGTGTTGTCCTTGAGCATATACTCGTCCTTGTCTGTCTGTCTCACTCGCGTAATTAGCTGTTATATTTTATAGTCGATGGTCCTCAGTCCCAAGTTTTGTCAGTGCACTCAGTATTAATATACTATTTGCTCTATGAAATGTAGCCTTGAGGTGGACAACTTGTAGGTAACAAGAGTGCAGTTACCTGTACTGACACCTGTCATGGAGGCATGGGGCGGCGGGCGGTGTAGCCTGGGTGGCCATTGTCAGGAACAGTAACCGTGTGCGTGTGTGTGTGTGGACGTGGACAATTTTGAGGTACTGGGCGGGGAAGGACCAGCGTCTCTGGCAACCCTTGAAACACACCCATTACCACTGTACCACACTACGGTGGGTAGCGGGTGGTTAACTAGTACACACGCGCCAGTGCCTCCCCCCGCCCAGTGCCACGTTGTTTAATCATAGGAGTTGAAGTAGTGGAAAGAGTCGATTGATCATTTTTTCTGCTACACGAGAAGTTTTCAGAAATACCGAATATAATTTTCGCGTATCCGCCGTGGACAGTGTTGTAGAACAATTGGGCTACACTCAGAGGTCCACGGTTGTTCAACATCCTCCCAGCAAGTATAATCAATATTGCCGGAACAACCGTAGACATCTTCAAGGGGAAAACTGAATAGTTTTCTTAAAGAAGTGCCGGACCAACCGGGCTGTCGTGGATATGTGGGCCTGCGGGTAGATATATGGGTTCTGAGAGTAGAGGAACTCGTAGAACCCCATTCAGGTAGAATCCAGGTACAGCGATGCCGAACTATTACCCCATGTGTATAATTTTTACAATATGACCAATATTTATAATGGGGTGGATACAGAGCGCCACCGTACGTGCTCACACGCAGGAGTTAAACAACATTACACATTTCCCTGTTGGTCTCGTCCAGGACTGGACACTACAGCGGGATATTCGTTTCAATTTAATGTCCGCCATATTTGTGTCTTGTGCAGTCATACCGACATTAAGGTGGAAATGCGGAACCCCGAGACACCCCCGCCAGTTACTTTCTCCGTTGATTGATTGATTGATTGATTGATTGATGAAGATTAAGCCACCCAAAAGGTGGCATAGGCATGAATAGTCCGTAAGTGGTGGCCCTTTTGAGCCATTACCAGTATCAAGAGCTGATACTGGAGATCTGTGGAGGTGCGACTGCACCCTGCGTGACGGGAGATGTCTCCCGTTTTCTCCGTTCTGTTTGACCCTTTTTTATACTAACGCTGTGCTTCCTGTCGTTCATCCCAGCCACTTGGGCTGGACGGTACAGCGACGGTCTCGCTTCATGCAGGTCGGCGTTCAATCCCCGACTGTCAAAGTGGTTGGGCAGCATTCCTTCCCCCCCCCCCTTCCATCTCATATAATTATCATGATCCCTTCCTAGTGCTATAGTCGTAATGGTTTGGCGCTTTCCCTTAAATCCCCCGCTTCCCTTAATGCCCTAGGTGTAAATTTGTTCTGGCGAGCCTCTCGTGTTGACAGCCCGTCCTCCAGATAAATTTGACAAGACCCAAAAGTGAGTCCATCCACCCGCCAAACCCACTGTTTATGAATGACAAAACGGTTTACACAAGACTCACAACTGCTGACGTTTGAACACTTCCGGAACAAATACTTCACTGATGAATTGTGTTCGAACCACAACGCTGTAAATGCTTCACCCACGTACTACTAATACAAATAATCGCCAACGGAACCTAAACACCTAACCTATGCCTATATATGCACAATATGCTAATATAATATAATATTAATTTATATTTGAGAAAATTCCTGTTTTGAATGAGCAGCATGTTAAAATTTATGAATGCGTGTGTGGGGTCGACCGCTGGATGGAATGGACTGGAGTCGAGGACGGGTTGTGTGTTGAACAGTTTGGCAAACCTTACTAATGTCAAAATGAAGAACACAAAAGTAAATCTTGCCTACTGCCTCACATATGTATAGATAGTCATTCTGAGACAGTTTATTTATTTATATACAAGGAGATACATTGGGGTGTGAGAGTACATAACATTGGGGATCTAACAGTCTAGCCGCCCATACGCTTAGCGTATCATTTATATCGTAGCGAAAGTATCCTTAACTTATCCTTATAATCTGCTCAATGAAGTAACGAGATAGGCTACTGGGAGGTTAGGTTATTGTTATCAAGAAAGTATGAAGTTGTATACTGTATTAGGAAGGCAATGGTAGAGAATGGTGGTACCGGGGGTGGGGGGGGGGTAGTGTGTGGAGGGGTTACGCTGTGGTGTGGTGGTGGTGGAGGTGAATGTCCGCGCCCTCGCCTCCTCTGGCGCCCCCCCACCTCCCCCCCACCTCCCTTTAATTACCACAGTCACCACAGCAACCTCAATTGCCCCTCCTGGGACAGGCGATGGTGCTGTTGTGGTCGACACAAGTGTTGGGGGTAATTCCAGCGGGTTCGAGTCACTTCTGGGGTGTGGAGTTACTCATTCGCATATATGCTTGGGGACCATACAAGCTTGTTCGCATTTGTGTTGTTCACGTGGCCCCATAAAGTGAGACGATTTGATGAAATAACTATGCTCAAGATTGTCATCAAAGTGTCGTCGGCACGGTGGTTCAAATAGCCTCGGCTATTGTCGTCTTTTGTACGGTCACTGATGGTCAAGTGGTTTAAGGTACTATGTACACCAGTTGCATTGTGCTTCTGGCGGTCTGGGTTCGAGTCACTTCAGGGGTGGGAAGTTTTCAGTTGCATATATATATATATATATATATATATATATATATATATATATATATATATATATATATATATATATATATATAATTATTTTGGGCAGGTTCTTAATTTTCCTCAATACGACCCGCTAAAAAGTTTAACCACCAGGTACCCATTCAATGCTGGGAGAACAGAGGCTACAGCTAACGATTAGCGCCCAGTCAATCCTCCCGGGTCAAGGTGCTGGGGAAGCGCCGGGCGAGTGCTTTACCACCACGCCCAAGGGGACTGCTTATCACCGGGGCCACGGGGACCATTAGGCTTGACGGTTGGTACACAGAGCAAGACAAGGAAATTAGCGAGATCCAACCTGGTGGTAAATGTTGACCAATCCATTTACCACGACTACCCTCAACATGTAGTCGATTTCCCTTTCAATCTTCTGTGTTTGTGTTAATATAAGTTAAGGGTTTGTCTAAGGGTTAGATATCGTTCATGAAGAAGCCGTTCGGATCTTCAAATTTCATATTAAATATGACGGCTGAAGATCTCGGAATATTCGGCTTAAGAGTCAGGACCCGGGACACAAGCCCCGGTCTCCTGAACTGAATATTCATAAAGAAATGTAAAATACCAGTAGCACGAGCGCTCAGTGTCCAGGTTGGCGGACCAACCGGGCTGTGGTGGGCCTGCGGGCCGCTCCAAGCAACAGCCTAGTGGATCAAACACACAAGTCAAGCCTGGCCTCGGGCCGGGCTTGGGAAATAGAAGAATTCCCAGAACCCCATCAACCAGGTATGAAGCAGTGTAATAGCCTGGATACAGGAGAGAATCCAGAAGCACGTTAAATCAGCCGGTATTGCTCCACTACACAAGTGAGGTAGTAAAGCTCTGGCAAAAATCAACAGACTAGTTGCACTAACACAACACACAATCAATGATTTTGAAAGAGTGATTATGAATCGAATCTCTAATTTAAAAAAAAAACTGAATTTGACAACTGTGGGAAAGCTACTTTAGAGCGGGGTAGATGCAGTAGTTACCTCGGGGGAGTGTCGCGTGTGGGTAACCCTGGTTTATGAAGACACAACTTTGAGAATGCAGCACATTCTAGAAGAGATGTTGTAAGATGCGTCTTACACCCGAGATGTGTGGTGGACAGGTTGAGACCAGGATGTGATGTGTTCATTCCCTCCTCGGGTTAACAAAGGTGTCACCGTTGGTTATAACGGTCACACCTTATACGTTTTGTTAAACGTTATATTACATATATTGTGGTTGATATAATGTGGGTGTTGTCATGTTGCTGTTGCCACTATTAATATAATATTTTTGTTAGAATGTGTAGAGACGTGCGTGCGGGATGACACTTTGTACAGTGGTGGTGTAAGGGGCGTGTTGTGCCGGGGTGAAGCACCAGTGACACATACAGTGCCGTGTGCGGCTCACACCAAGCCAAAAATGTTCTCTTCATTCATATGTTACGATTAAGAAGACTGTGAAGTGATAGCTGTGGAGGAGGAGGAGGAGGAGGTGTGTGAGGCGAGGCCAGCCTCCGTGCCGGTGGTGCCGAGGACTGGAGCTACACTGGTGACTCTGCGCCTCCAGGAGCCACCTCCATGGTCCTCAACAGGTAAGTGTAGCGTGTGGTCAGTCACCAGTCTTCCTCCCTAGTTAGTCTGGCGGCTCACGCCCACACCTCTCACCTCAACTATGTTCAATCCTTAATAACAATGTTTCTTGTTATTTTTGTTGTCATCAATGTATATTTTAAATTGTTTATTGTTATTACCACTCAGCTTTTAGCAGAAGTTCCTTTAGTTTTAAGAATTCCACAAACTTCGTATTCCACACTGGATATATTTGTGGTGCAGGGTGAGGAGTGCCGGCAAGGTCCTGGTCGACACGTGGGCATAGTGTATGTACAACACGCCTCACTATGGCCGGGGTATACTCATTGGTATTGCTCTCCGGAATAATCTAAATTCCTTGAGATATTTTAACTCCCTGATTATGTACTATTTAGCTATATATCTTTATCTGTTTCTGATGATGACCGCGGGAGAGAGCAATGTTGCCAGGTTTACCGTGAGTGTTGTGTGTGCTACAGTGACCTGGCTGGCTGGCTGGCTGGCTGGCTAGCTGGCTCACTCACCACAACTCTTCCTCCAGTCTCTGAATATTGTGCATCTCCATTTGACTTGTAACAGGGGGTGGGGTAAACAGCTCTCTTGTCGGGTATCCCGCCCCCAGGTAGTTAACTACTCTAGAGTTCCCTCAGAGTTCCTACTGCAACCTCTCTAGTTCAACACCTTGTAACCTAGGTATTTGATTACCTAGGTGTTACAACTACAAGGCGCCGTGACTTGATCAGCTACCCGCAACTCTGAGAGAAAACTCTAGAACATTTCACTGCCACAAACGTATAATAGAACCGAAAGGGAAGAAATGGATAATGAAGTAATTAGTGAGGGTTTGAGGTGAGGGAGGTAGAGAGGTGCCGGTCGGCCGAGAGGACAGCACGCTGGACTTGTGATCCTGTGGTCCTGGGTTCAATCCCAGGCGCCGGCGAGAAACATTGGGCAGAGTTTTTCACCCTATGCCCCTGTTACCTAGCAGTAAAATAGGTACCTGGGTGTTAGTCAGCTGTCACGGGCTGCTTCCTGGGGGTGGAGGCCTGGTCGAGGACCGGGCCGCGGGGACACTAAAACCCCGAAATCATCTCAAGATAACCTCAAGATACTATGCTCAAGATTACCATCAGAGTGCCGGCGGGCTGATGGGCAAATAGCCTCAGCTACCATCAGCTTTTGTCCAGTCGTGAAGGTCGAGTGGATAAGGTGTCCTGTACACACCAGTTGCATTGTGCTCCTGGCAGTATGGGTTTGAGTCACTTCTGGGGTGTGAGTTTTCAGTTGCATATAGTTCTGGGGATCATTCAGGCTAGTTCGCATATATATATATATATATATATATATATATATATATATATATATATATATATATATATATATATATATATATATATATATATATATATATATATATATATATATATATATATATATATTTAGTCCTGGGGGGTGTGTGTGTGTGTGTGTGTGTGTGTGTGTATATATATATATATATATATATATATATATATATATATATATATATAATAATAATAATATTAAATAAAACTAAACAAAACACCTTTATGGTGTTAGAGACTTCATCGTAATGAGTGAAGTTGTAGAAAGGTGCAGGAGGCGAGGCTAGGATATTATCATTAAGGAATCTGATATCTGTTCCTAAGAGTTCAAAAGTAGGACTGTGTGTGAAGCAGATGAGCGAAAGGTGTTGGTGTTGGAGCCCTGATAGGCCTATGCACTTGGTCTTTGTGGTGTAGAATAGTTATCTACAATGAAGAGTTACTTCCGAGTGAAGAGTAGTTGTACCTTGACGTCTCTGGGGGTGGCATTAAGCCTAAAGATCCCATGACAATGTCAGGGGTGCCAGTGGTTGCTGAGACTGTCTCCTGTGAGGGGAAAGCCAGCCTTCAGTACCAACCACAGGCTCACAAGAAGTACCGCTCTTCTCTTAACAGTTCTACCACAGTTTACTTGTAGGTTTGGAAAGTTCTGCTCTCAAACCCCACCAGGACAAGGCCTCCCTCTGGCCGGGTATGGAGTGGTACCACCAATGATCATCTTGGTGGTAACAGTTGGCAGAGCACGAGGTTAGGGTGCACCACATGTCGCCTGGATGGAAGGTTGGCCGCCCCTGTGTGCACGTTTCCTCAGATCACATGCAGATCCAGCCAACACCTTTACATGAGGCCATGAAGGGGGTATGGGCACGGGGGCGGCTGCACTAGGGGCAGGTGGGGCACTGATAGTGTTGGGGAAAGTATGGGCGCCTGTTTTTGGCGATGGAGAAGATTTACATGCTGTAGGGAAGGAGAAGGCAGGCGCGAGCTACTTTTGTTTTTAACTGGTAGAAGGGTGGTAATGCGCACAGGTTCCCTGGACTATGTCAGTCAACATGCCCCAGGTTATATGAGGGGGTTGGGAGCGGGCTGGTAACGTCCAGTAAGGGCGTGCCTCCACCAGTATAATAACGTCTAGATCACTGACGCCGCCCCCAACGCTCGGAGTGTTCTCTGGCGGCGACACCAGTACTCCAAGGTCAACCTTATAATCTGCTCAATGAAATAACGAGATAGGCTACTGGGAGAGAAGAGACGGTAGGCTGTGTCAGGTACAATAAGCACAGAGAACGTCGACCTTCAACCTTTGATTAGTAAACGTAGATCGTATTGCGGGAGCACAGGTAGAAGTATTAAGAAGGAAGTTAACAAGTTTACGCGCAGACGATTCTTGAACAGCGGTTTACCAAGGACGAGTAACTCATTCCGGGCTGCCTGCTTGATGGGGTTCTGGGAGTTGTTCCACTCCCGAAGCCCGGCCTGAGGCCAAGCTTGACTTGTGAGAGTTTGGTCCACCAGGCTGTTGCTCGGAGACGCCGCCAGAGTATATCAACCAACACAACTGCACTTGAAACTGGTTACAGGTGATTAGCAAGTCATACCCAGTAACCCAAACGGTGATAGGGAGCTACTGGGCATCACGCACACTTGTGCCGCGATGTCGATATCGGTGGTAAGAGTGGGGGCTCTCTCCAGTGACCCGCCTGATACACCATGTGACCATTGAGTGTAACGGTGTGTGATGAGTGGTGGAGGTATGCGGGGCGCCACGTGAGGTGTTGGTGCCTGTGTGTCGGGGGCGAGGCACAGTGTTGGTGCCTGTGTGTCGGGGCGAGGCACAGTGTTGGTGCCGGTGTGTCGGGGCGAGGCACAGTGTTGGTGCCGGTGTGTGGGGGGCGAGGCACAGTGTTGGTGCCGGTGTGTGGGGGGCGAGGCACAGTGTTGGTGCCGGTGTGTGGGGGGCGAGGCGGAGGACAAGTGGAGTTCTTACACTCCTATATGGAAGCTGATCAGAATTACATTTCACCTTTGTAAATGTACATTAATGACACTATGTAAAAGACACATCGAACACTTTATGTAGGGCATACGTAATCTGTGTATCTATGTATTTACGTATGTAGGTTAGCATTTTAAAAGCACCGAATCACCTTCTGTGGTTGGGTGTTCAATAAACCCTTGAACTATATGTTTAACACTTCTCTAACCCTGTCCATGGAGGACAGAAGAAAATGTTTATATGCTGGTTAGCATTGTAAATGTGTGGCCACGTCTGTGGTAGAAAATAATAATAAAAAATAAATAAATAAATAAATAAATAAACAAACCTGTACGGCCACTAGCACGCATAGCATTTCGGGCAAGTCCTTAATCCTACGTTCCCCGGAATACGACCCGCCAAATCGTTAAACATCCAGGTACCCATTTTACTGTTGGGTAAACAGAGGCTACAGTTAAGGATTGACGCCCAGTAAATCCTCCCCGGCCAGGATACGAACCCAGGCCGAAGCGCCTGTCGAGCAATAAACGGTTTGCAATCAAGTAATAACGTGCTTGTCTTGGAAGCTAGACGTAGATATACAAGCATACTTAGCAAGAGGGTAAATATAAAAATGTTGTGGATTCCTTCTCACATTGGCCTGCAGGAACATGACAAAGTTGACGCCCTTGCTAAGGCTGCAGTAAATAAAGACAGTATTGAACGGAATCTTGAGTTATCAAATAGGTCCCTTAAAAGTGTCATTAGACGAGAACTCCTGGATGGATTTGAAGAAAGTAGAACAGTGCAAACTGGAACTAGCAGGTCCATTGTTCATCACAATGAAATGTGTGAAGTAAAACATGTGTATGGGGCAAGTAACAAAGTCAGTAGACTAACAGATGTTGTCACAGCTCGTATAAGACTTGGCTACAAGTATCTCTGGCAGTTCGGCTTGTATAGGGATCTAGATGAAGTAAAGTGTAAAGTGTGTGGACAAAGACAGGGACACACACTCGAACACTATATCTTGGATTGTTGTAAAATTGAGCCATTTAGAGATAAATCTAAGCTCACTCTGTATGATATGGCAACCTATCTTATTACTATGGATAAATTACCTGAAATCCTTGCACTGTACCCACATTTTGCTTCCAGTAGATGAACGACATATGAGATTAAGAAACAAGTAGTGTATTGTGAGGACTAATAATAAACAGAAGCTCCCCTATGACTGTAATATTACCATTGGTCAAACTATTATGTATTAGCGATAAGCCCTACCATTAATGTATGATGACTTACTGTAAATATGTAGCTCTTGTAATAGCACTTTCTCTGTAACTAGCTGACATTGTAACTATAAGGTGTGAAGGATAGATGTAATTGTTTATGTAATAATCTAAGATGAGGTCTGATAAAGACCTTTTGTGCCCTCTAATGCTTTTGCGCTACCGCTCACAGGATAAGTATGGGGTGCACAATAAACTAGCCGCCTTCGGCGGCAACAATCAATCAATGAAACACCAGGCGAGCGTCTTACCACTGCGCCACGGGGACTGCAAGGATAAGGCAACAATAATGCGAGTAAAGTAAATGTGTTGAATATGGGGGTAAGACGTGTAGGAGATGACGGTCATATGGTGACCCGCGTGTCACGCTCATGTGTCATATGGTGACCCGC